AACAAACACTCTCTCTCTCTCTCTCTCTCACACACACACACACACACACACACACACACACACACACACTTCGAATTCAGTTCCAGAAGAACAAAAACTCTCTCTATCTCTCTCACACACACACTTAGAATTCAGTTTCAGTAGAACAAAAGCTTTCTTTCTCTCTCCCTCTCTCTCTCTCTCTCGCGCGCGCGCCCGAAAATAGAACGTGCGATCGTTATCGCTGTATCTAGACAAAGTTGCTCCAAATGCAGCTACAGTGACCGTGCGTTCTATTCGGAGGACGGCGGTAGCAAGAAATTCCAGTAGCTGCAGCGTCAACGTGAACGTCGCCCGTGCCACGCTCACGTCAGCTGCAGCTACAGGAATTTCTTGCTACCGTCGTCCTACGCGATCTGCATTCGACGAATGTCTTCCACACAAGAGGATGACAGGGCAAGGATAGGGTAGACGAATGTACACAAAAAAAGAAAAAGAGCATTCTGCTGATCGCCTACCCTCAGCTCGCCACGTCAGCTCATCGCGTCGACCACTCACCCCCCCATCGTCACGTTACCCTGGGTTTAGGCCGTCATCACTAATTAGCCTGTCAAATCACCGCTGTGTCAAGTCGTCACTGATCACATTGGGCCGTCATCACTAATCAGCCTCTGCCTACCCTGGGTTCCTTTCCCCTACCTACCGTCTTCCCTTCGAATAGAGCGTACGGTCATTATAGCTGTATTTGGAGCCATTTTCAGTCTACATAAACGATCATGACCGGTATATAGAGCGTACGGTCATTATAGACCGTACGGTCATTATAGATGTATTTGGAACCATTTTCAGTGAAGATATAAAGCGATAACGACCGGACCAGAGCGTACGGTCATTATTAGCTGAAGCAATAATGACTGGGCGGTCTATTCGGAGGAAAACATTATAGAGCGTACGGTCATTATAGCTGTATGTATTTGGAGCAATTTTCAGTCTATATACAGCGATAATGACCGGGCGCTCTATTTCGGAGGAAAAACATTATAGAGCGTACGGTCATCATACGAGCTGTATGTATTTTGAGCAATTTTCAGTCTATATACAGCGATAATGACTGGGCGGTCTATTCGGAAGAAAAACATTATAGAGCGTGAGCGTGCGGTCATTATAGCTGTATGTATTTGGAGCAATTTCCAGTCTATATACAGCGATAACGACCGGGCGTTCTATTTCGGAGGAAAAATGGACACGGTGGCACACCCATCTCCTCGCCCACCCCTAATCAGCGTCTCCCTACCTACCGTCTTCCCTCGAATAGAGCGTTCCTTTTTTAGGGTCGATTCGAATCAAACCTAGGGGACCCTACCCACCGTCTTCCCTCGAGTAGAGCGCACAGAAATTATCGCAGTATTTGGAGCAATTTTCAGTCTAGATACAGCGAAAATGACCGGCCGTTCTACTTCGGAGGAAAAACGAACACGGTAGCCTCCCCCCCTCTCCCCTCTTACCTGCACTCCATCTACTCTCGCACATCTCCACATCACCTCCCCTCTCATCACATCGTCTCCACCAAGCCCTCACCCATCGGCCACGTCATCATCTTCGTACATCTGCCACTTTCCGTAAACTCGCCAAGCGCCAACATTTTTTTAATCTATCTGGACAACTCCCTCGTCCACATACATTCAAAACTTTCGCGTGAAACATTCAATGTTTACGTCATCATCTTGGTACATCTGCCAAGTTCCGTTAACTCGCCAAGCGCCAACAGTTAATATGTATCCGGACCCACGCACGTCCACATACATTCAAAATGCGGGCGCTTCCAACATTTTTTTAATGTATCTGTACAGCTCCCTCGTCCACACACATTCAAAATTTTCGCGTGAAACATTCAAAGTTTACGTCATCATCTTGGTACATCTGCCAAGTTCCGTTAACTCGCCAAGCGCCAACAGTTAAAACGTATCCTGACCAACGCACGTCCACGTACATTCAAAATGTTGGCGCTTGGTGGCGATGTCCGAGGAAGAAGAAGAAGAAGAAGAAGATTCCCTTCAGAGCGTGCTCGTCATAATCCCCCCCTCCCCTCCCCCGTCCCCCCCCTCTCCCCCCCCACCCCTCTTCGATTGACGATGTGTGAACCCCGCTAATTACGGGGTTGGGGTTTATTCACATCACTAATCCAGCACCACCAAGCGCCGCATCATTAACCCCCCCCTCCTTCCCCTCCATTGTCACATTATCACCATCCTCATCAGCCTTCCGCTTCTCCTTATCACAACTCTCCCATCACCATTATCGTCCCCATCACCATCCATCCATCATCACGACGAAAACGCGATCCTTATCATCAAAATCATTATCATCGTCATCATCGTCATCGTCATCATTACTCATCATTCATCACCATCCACATCATTCATTACCCGTCGCTGTCGTCATCATCATCCTACATCGTCATCATCGTCATCATCATCAATCCTTTCAATCTCAATCTCAATCTCATCGTTCGTACCCGTCGCTGTCGTCATCATCATCCTGCATCACCATCACCATCCATCACCATCGCCGCCATCATCATTCATCAATTCATCATCAATTCATCATCATCATGACCGTCGTCATCACTCATCATTCATCAACTCCTTATCATCAGCGACGATCACCATTCATCATCCATCCTTTCATCATCACTATCCTGGTGAAACAATTTCCTTTTTTTTTTAATCGGACAACTCCTTAACTTCTTTATGGAAATTCTTTTGCCCTTACACCACCACCACCATCATCATCGTCGTCATCATCATCGTCATCATCATCATCATCATCATCATCACAATCATTATCGTCATCATCATCATCGTCATCATCACCATCATTGTCGTCATCATCAGCATCATCACCATCATCATCATGTGAAAACAATATCTATTTCTTTCCTAAAATGGTTTTCACTTTCAGAGATTTATTAACGATGCCAGACAATATCTAATTCTTTCCTAAAATATCAACATTATCGTAATCCTCATCCTCATCCTCATCCTCACCATCACCATCGCATTCCCGTCGTCCCACCCCATCCCCGCCTCAACACCCCCCTCCCAACGTACCGTCTTCACCTGAATAGAACGCCCGGTCATTATAGCTGTATTTGATGCATTTTTCAGTCCAGATACGGCCATAATTACCGGCCGTTCTATTCGGCTGAAGACGGTAGCCTCTTAAGTCTCATAGGCCTTGTTCCTGAAAGACTCGAGAGAGTGAAAACCATCACATTCCCGTCGCCAGTACCAAAACTTATCCTTACGCGTCAATAATCTTCTCATGTGAAAGGAGGAAAGAGTTTTTTTTCACAGCGAATTTCTATAAATGCATTTCTATAAACGAAGATTTTTTTTCACAGTGAATTTCTATAAATGAATTTCTGTAAACGAAGAATTTCTTTAAATGATTTTTTTATAAATGAAATTCTATAAATGAAAATGAAAATTTGGCAACTCTCTTGAGAGACTTTCTGCGAGAAAGTTCATTTCTTTAGTTGACTTTCATCGACTTTATGCGCTTTTTCATTCATCGACGGCGAATGAATTTTTTGTTCCCCTTCTTTTCCATTGGAGGACCAACTCTTCAACAGGTTCTTCAAATAATAATAATAATAATAATAATCAGGGTAACCTGACCGAACGTTCGGGGGTCCCCGGGCTGGCCCCCGAACGTTCGGGCGTTCGGGGTCCCGTTCGGGGGCCGAACACCTCCAGGTTCGGCCCCCGCCAAAAATTATTTCGGGGCCTAAACGTAAGTTTTTTTTTCTGAATTTTTTTTTGTGAGTTCTCTATGATGTAACCTACACGCCCATAAATTTTGAAGCCATTCTGCTAAGCCAAAAAAACATTAAAAATCTTCAAAGATGGGGGTGTCAAAACGTGCTCGCCCACTCACTATTTTGTTTTTTTTAACTTTTAACTTTTTGTTTTCACTTTATTTCGGGGCCTAAACAATTTTATTATTTTTTGAACAATTTTTAACGAGTTATTGATTATGTAAACTACATAACTGTAAATTTTCAGGGCATTTGTCAATGCCAAAAAATAATTAAAAATC